AGTTTAATTGGCAACTGATTGGTATTCATTTTCTTTATTTTGTAGAATAAGTGATCCATCAAATGAAATATTGGCAGAAAGACAGCCTTCCTTATTGTTAAAAATTTTCCTTCCTGTTTTTCCATTATAATTTCTTACTTGATATATGTTGATGCAGCTTTTACTATGCTTCTTATATCTCCTTAAGATACTAAGTCGAGGCCCCAGCAAGTGAATTGGTACGTTCTGCAAATGGGACAAACAAATTATCTCTGTCATTCTCTTAGTTATTATTTTATTAAGAAGTTTTCCTGCAGTTATTTATGAGAATAGCATTTATGAGAATAGCAAGTGTAGGAAGTAGTGTAAATAATAACATTTATTTACCTCCGGGTCCATGCTTTACCTGAAGTCCCTGATGTAGAGAATTATACATGTTTTCCATCCAAATGCATTCTCTGTTCCTTTGTTGAATTCTTTTTGCGCTCTCCGTCAACATTTTTTGTGCTCTAACTAGAATATTGTGACAGGGTTTAACTAACCTCCCATCCACCCAAAAGGAAAAAAAGAACGTTAGTTGTCTGTTAATAAAGATCCATTGCGGTTTATTATTAGTTTATTAAGTGTTTCATGATGTTCTGAAACTCTCTAGTTCTCATATAACTATTTGTCCATTAAAGGAAGAGATATGATACAGTTCAGTTATTTTTGGGTTCTTTCTTCATAGCGGGTGCCTTTTAGGTCTTAAATTTCTGTTAAAAAATTCTGAGCAACCAAGGGACATGCACTAAGGGGAAAGAGACTGACGTACTACTTGTTCTCAACACTAGGACAAATTGTTGCGAAAATTTAGGGAAGTGTTTTGCTCTAAAGAACCGCAGTTCGAATATATCTATCTGAATTAGATGCTGTTTTTTAATCATAATATTACATTAACCCTTCACCAAATTGTTGGACTCCTGAGGAACTAAGGCTATGTTGACACTGTACACCCCTCTGCAATCCACGGCCGTGAGCCTTAACTTGCCGCAAAGCCATAATCGATCATTAGAAGATCATGCTCTCTGCTAAAAGTTTTAAGTTCTATTAGAGTTTCGTCGGCATTAATAACATAACATCTTGGGACAGTTAGTCGGTTTTACTTTGTGGATGCCTAATTTCTTCTGACTTTTCTTGCTCCTGCAAGGAAACAAACAGGCCTCAAATTTTTCTTGCCCTTGTAAGGAACCAAACAGCTCCTCAACCAAGAAGGGCTGAACTTTTGGCGGATGGTGGCTTTGTAAAGTTTGGAAAAGGGAAGTCTCGAGTTTTGAGGATTGAAACTAGAACAACCTGTTTTATTTCAGTGTCACAAAGAGTAATAATTGTCCAGGGTTAAATGAAATAAATGTTAAAAGAAGCTTGAAACAATGATCATCAGTAATCTGTGCTAAAGAAATTTCTTTTATTTGGATTTCATGAACTAGTTCATATCGGTTATTCAGGATCCAACATCATTGATAACTTAGAATGACTTATAACCCTATCAAATAACCCTGAACATCTTCCAAATAATGAGAATATAGCTGCTCTGTGGTTGATCCATGAGTTAGTGATGTGATCCAAGCCAAAAGACACTATAGCCAATCTATTAACCAATTTATTGAAAGAGGAATACGTCGCACCTCTTCAAAGAATTTCCAGCACTATTAAAGTATCGGAGAATTGTTTTTCCCCCCTGAACTTATCGTGTTCAATGTTATTTGTTCATAGTTGCTTTGATGATGAGCAATCAAACAAGCTGGAAGGCTATTTTTATGCAAATGATGTGAAGGGGCAAGGTTACTAGTACCTTCACAACAATGGTTTGGTTTGTTTCTGTTACTTGATTTGAAGTCATTACAGTTACCCTACTTTAAAAAAAAAATATAAGCTCAAGTTTCTAAATTCTTCGTAAGATAATTTCAAACTTGACTAAAATCATGATGTTGAATATCTGCATTTGTCGTACTATTTCAAAACCTCATGATATATCTACTCTTTGTCATTTCTTTTTTAACGGTATCACTCTATGAAACCAGGTATCTGATGGGCATGGAATCAAGAAAAAGCAAGATAAGAGAAGACTGAGTCACGTCAATGTCTTCAAGGCTTCCTTCGAGGGGCTGTTTGTTTGGGCTAAAAAGTGGAGAAAATGGGTTTTGGAAAACTGACAGCCCATTTCTTGTATTTCCCTTCACCTTCTGACGTTTGGTTCACAAAAACGAAAGAAGGAAAGAGGGAGAAAACTGGCGTTTAAAGGAAAATTTGGGGCCGATCTGTTTTCTGCCCTTAAGTCCCCGATTTTGCAGAATACTCGCGGAAAGTGAAGAGGAGGTTCCTGCCTCCTCAATCCCGTCACCGCTCCCTCTCTCTCTCCCGCCTCCCTCATTCCCTTGCTCCTCCTGCTTCGCATAGACGAACAAAGCCGAAATGCTCTAACTTTTTTCATAATTTTGGCCCATTCTCGTATATAATCATAGATTCATGGATCTCTATGCCCTAATTTACTTTCTAGGGAATTATTGATGGGTTTTTTTTATGGATTTATATGTGAGATTTTTGTGAAATTTTAAGACTTTTCTTCAAATTTATGGGAAATTTCTTATGGGTTTCGCATGTAGCAACATCACAAAGAGATCCAAGTTCAATTTTAACGTTTCCTTTTCTTATGGGTTTCGCATGATGGATCTCTCTGTAACTCAGCTTGAAGTCTAAGCTTATGAAGTCTAAGCTAGTTGTTAACGTTTCCTATTTTACGGGTTGAAGTCTAAGCTTGAAGTCTCAGCATCACAAAGAGATCCAAGTTCAATTTTAACGTTTCCTATTTATGGGTTTCTCCAATTTTCACATTTTGAGAGCTTATGAAGTCTAAGCTAAACTTGCCTCAGGATATATGTATATGTTATGTATATAATTTGTTAGTAATTCAGCTTTTGTTGTATCAACATAGAACTGAAAATAAGGTGCAACTACAAAGCAGTTGGAATAAATGTCTTAGTAGTCGACTACAAAGCTTAGTAGTGACTACACTGAGTCTATTCAGACTCTGTGAAGTCAAGAAACAAGCTCAGTAGTCGACTACTATGCTTATTAGTCGACTACACTGTACATATGTAGTTTTTGGATATTTGACTGAGGATTTTATAGTCGACTACTAAAGGAATTATTCGACTACAGATATTAGTGCTCATATAATACACATAGTAAATAAATTATTATCATTAAAATTATATCTTAGGGTCAAGATATCCAACACTAATTGTAACCTGACATGTTCAACTCTTCATTGATATCATTTGCCTTTAATGTTGGTATCTACTTTAATATGACGCTTGTATTTTAGATGGATGGTGATTTCGACGAAGAGACTGTAGTTAATATATGTTCGGGTGCTGCACTATCTGTTTTAGTTATGGTTATGACATTCATGAGGAGAATGCAAAGTAGACGTAGTCTATACGTGCAGGTCCTAGTGAGGAAAAAATAATACAATATAAAAATAGAAAACAACACATGGACCGGATATATAATGGATTTAGTGATAGTTGTGTGAACTATGTTATATTGCGTAGTGGTGCTTTTATGAAGCTTGCAGAGATCATGAGGAGGAATGATTTATTGCGAGACTCAAGACATGTCACAGTGGAGGAGCAACTTGCTATGACTTTGAATATATTGGGGCATAAAACTAAAATCGAAGTATTAGGTCACATTTTATTAGATCTGGCGAGACTGTGAGTAAGTATTTCAACAAAGTGTTAGAAGGAATTTGCCACATATGACCACGTCTGTTGAGACAAGACGGAATGAGGTTTCACAGGAGATCCTTAGCAACCCTCTATACTATCTTTATTTCAAGGTATTCTCTCCTTAATTTGTGATTAAAAGCACGTTTATTTAATTTAATAAAAAATAATCAATAGTAATTTTTTATTCTCTAGGATTGTATTGGTATGATAAATGGGACACATGTTGAAGCTATGCTACCTGCTAGTCTTCAACCACGATTCGGTAGTCGAAAAGGTGTTACACAAAATGTTTTAGCGGCTTGTACTCCAAACAAGTTGTTCACTTACATATTAGCAGGATGGGAAGGTTCTGCAAATGACTATAGAGTCCTTCAAGATGCATTGACTAGGCCCCAGCCACATGGTTTGAAAGTATATGACGGTAATTTTATCAAATCTTTAATTTTAAGTAATTACTTCAATTAATAAATGATATTCAATAAAATTTTAACAAATTCTAATAAACACTTTCACGTCATGCAAATTGTAGGGAAGTATTACTTGTGTGATGCGGGATACACGACCATGCCGGGTTTCATCTCCCCGTATCGTGATGTTCGTTACCATTTGAAGGAACAAATAGGAAGAACACCTAAAAATAGAAGAGAATTATTCAATCTTAGACATTCTTCTTTAAGGTCTAAGATTAAAGCTACATTTGGTTGTTTGAAGAATCGTTTTAAAATTCTCACCGCAACGCCTCGTTACCCTTTTTGCGCGCAAGTGAATATCGTATTAGCTTGCACAGTTCTTCACAATTATATTGCAATGGTTGACCCGGATGATGATATATTCAATGAGACCGTTGACATCGAAGATGATGAAAGAGATGTTGCTAATGAAGATGATAATAATATTATTGATTTTTCTCAACCCCAAACTCAAAGGGAGCAAACACAATCAAGAAACGTATGGAAGGATCGTAGAGATCAAATAGCTTGGAAAATGTGGGTTGATTATTGCGAAAAACATAAGGGAGGGAATACTAATGAAATAGGCATGTGACGCAATGTGATAGTGATGTTGTCTTATGTTATGAATTATTCTATTTTCATGTACTTCATTTTATGATGGCGTGTGTAAAACTATGTAATGTTAATTTAGAAACATTTGTATGCTACTATTATGTGCTGTATGGAATTTTCTCTTAGGACACACTTTCTTTACTCAACTTACGTTTATTTTTTGTATTTCTCTATAACTATTTTCTAGGTATGACCGACAACCTCAATTGTGAGGAACTTGATAAGGTCAAAGGTAAGAGTACGGCATCAAATTCATCGCCTAGAACCCTAAAGAATTCATCAATCCCTTGTGGGTTCAACCCGGGATTTATGCCTTATCAACTAACTGATGTTATATAGGGATGAGAGAGCTGCCACCTTCCAAATTTCAGTTCAAACAAGAAGACTGAAGTACCCATTCATGGAGAGGATGGATCGCGAATCAAAAAGCATACTTTGGCAGTCATACTGACAGTAAGATTCTAGTACAAAAAACTTATAGATGCGTTAACAGATGACTTCCTACATCTATTTCCTCTTCACTTACACATAAATTGAACGGATAAATAGTACCAGATGCCTCTTTCTGATTGATGAGAAACGTAGCTGAAAAAGTGCACAATCCAACGAAACAGTAGCACTAGAAGAATGCTGAACCAGTGCATCAATCTTCAACAGGTTTTGATGTTATGCAGGGGCATTTTTTATCAGCAAAGTTGATATGGCAAGCTCCGCCTTCCAACCCCTTGCTCAGGCAATCGGTGTTGCAGTTTTGATCGCTGCATGTTGAACCCTCCATTGTCATCATCCCATCGTCCACAAAAGACAAGTGTATTTAAGTGATCCATAAGCGTTAAGGTAGTAAAAGAGTTAGTTTAAATAACTTTTGGATATGAGGAGAAGATCGAAGAGCAGCAGGTAATTAGTCCAGGTGTTTCCACAACCTGCAAGAAAATATCGGAATGCTGTACAAGTGAATTAGTTCAATTGCAAGTAAAAAGTATAGACACGTGCAATAAACTCAATCTCTGCATACCAACAGTGCTTTAGATATGCAGGATACAACAAATTAGAAATATCGTACAGTTAAAATGCTATATACCGACATTTAAACTAAAATGCTATATACAGACATTTAAACTATCTTTAAGTTGATACCTTGGGTAATGTATAGAAGCACTTTCAAACTAGGTTTATGGAAGAGTTCTCATAGATAGTGGTGTGAACAAATTGTCATGCATGATCTCTTGTTTCTTTAAGAATACAAGCATGAGTAATCGCAGTGCAATGTCTCAAGAATCAGTTGCTTTCACCAAAGGGTTTGTACGAATTTTTTTGGATAGACAGGTAGATAGTCTGAAACTAAACATGTTAAAGCTAAACTGTCACATGCCAGGAAAAAAATGAAAGCAAAAAGATTGAATACATAGACCCAATAAGATGACTCCACCAGTGCTATATGAAATTTATTCCAATTTTTCTTTGATCTAAAACTTTCATTTTAAAGCTTCAACTAGTTTCTCAAAGTTCCAATCATCTACGCCGGCTTATATGAATAGAAATAACAAGTGATGTAAAGTAATTAGTGAATTGATTTTTCTAGAGTTTTTGCCATAAAATCCGAGGACAGGCTTTGAGACTTTCAGGAAATGGTGCGCCTCATACTGGCCCTTACACGATTAAATCCTGGGTACTTGTAGTTGATTCATACCAATTACGCAGCTCTTCTATAGGCATCAAGTTTATTTACATTTTTTCAAAAGAAACAATTGTCTACGATGTCAAAGCTAAAGGTCATTTCCTGATATATAATATACTAAATTAGAAAATACTTAATGTAAATAGTCGTGCATCACATTCACTATAAGAATTGATAAAACATAACTATACAGTATTAGTCAAGACATCACCTTTTCTATAAGGGCATGTTCGTTTGTTTTCAAAAAAGCAAGAAATGGAAATGGAAATAGTGGAAATCTCAAAATAACCCATTTCTTCCATTTCCATCCCTAAAACTCACCCACAACATCCAATAAAATATTATTTTCATCCAACAACTTATCCACATCATCTAATAAAATATTATTTTCATCTAACCACTCATCCACCACATCTAATAAAATATTATTTTCATCTAACAACTCATCCATCACATCTAATAAAATATTATTTTTATCCAAACATCACTCAACTCATCTCTTTTATTATTTCAAATCACTCACATCATCGAATAAAATATTATAACAATTCACCTCATCTCATTAACATTTCATTTCTTCCATTTCATTTCTTCCATTTCATCCCAAAAAGTTGTGAAAACACATTTCTTAATCTTTCTTCACATCAACCAATAATACAATGACAACTCATCCCATCTCATTTCATTTCTTATTTTTAAGAATGAACCGAACAAAAGAAAACAAGAAAACTACAGGAAATAGGTTTCTTATAATTCATTTCCTTATTTTTTCGCCAACCGAACAACATCAAAACTAGTTTTCTTAAAAAATCACTCACATCATCCAATAATAATGTGACAACTCATCTCATCTCATCTCCATTTCTTTGATTTCCTTTTTTTTTAACCAACCGAACACTCCAAAACAATTCTTCATTTTCCATTTCTTTGATTTTCCATTTTTTTAAGGCAAACGAACAGGCCCTAAATCATCAAGAGAATAAAAGTAGCTACAGAAAATCCTCCTCCTCGCAAATGCCTAGTCAAGACATAATCTCAAAGGAAAAGGCTATCCCAGACATTTGTATTACCCAACTTATTCTAGGAACATACAACATCCTTTGGATGATCCAAATAACACTGCATTTGTATTACCCAACTTATTCTAGGAACATACAACATCCTTTGGATGATCCAAATAACACTGGTAAAAGAGTTTACTAAGAAATAAACACCAGGATGATCCAAATAACACTGGTAAAAGAGTTTACTAAGAAATAAACACCAAGAAAGAGAGCACTTTTAGTGTTTAACATAATCTGCATTCTAAGACGACAATTGTTAGTCTAAGTGTGTAGACCCAAAGCTGCAATCGAAAAGACGAAGAAAACAGTCAGAAGACTGTGCGGTCGACCGCAGTGGCAGAGCCGGTCGACCGCGTGCACTGCAGGAGACTGAGAAGAAGTTTTCGCTCTGGTCGGTCGACCGGCGTGGCCGCTGCGGTCGACCGCAAATGTGCACAGGACCCTGTAAACAGATTTTTCTCTGGCCGGTCGACCGGCCTTGGCACGGCGGTCGACCGCGACGCGATTCGTGCCTTGTTCCTATTTATTTCTAGAACTCCTTGTTCTGCTGCCGGGTTTGTTATAAATACCCAAACGTTTCTAGGTTTGTAGTGACATCAATAAAGAGAGCTTTTTGGCTGCTTAAGAGAGCATTGAGAAATCTCAGACAGATTACCCTTGTTGAGAGTCTTGTCTATTTGTTCTTCTTCATTAATAGAAAGATTGTGTGGTGTGGCCTCCGAGGACGTAGGCACTGTTGCCGACTCGGTAAACTCTGTGTGTTCGTCTCTTACTGTTTTTACAAGGTTAGATCTTTATTTGTGTTTATTTCCCTTCTACTTTTCCTAACTTTCAACACAAGTCCGAAGGGCTAAGTGGTTCGATTGATTTTTCGAATCGCCCAACAACTTGTATCAGAGCTTCGCTTCAGCAATTTGTGTGAAAGCTCATGGCAGAGGAAAGCAAAAAAAAAACCACAAAAAAAAAAAAAAAATAATCATAATTGTATGAAAGCTTCGACTGCGATCGGATTTCGCCGCTACTGGAATCGTAGATGGAGAATTATAAATAAAAAAAAAATAATAAAAAATAATCAAATAACGACTATCTGTACCAGGATTAGGACTTGTTTATCGCGCGCTTCTGGCAGGATAAGGGAAAGAAGCACGACGCGAGTCAGATGGTATTGGGGAGGTACTGGATAGGAAGGCTCTAGGGCAAATCCCGTTTAGTTCTCCTCGCCCAAATCGAGTAGCCCACATATTCTGAGGAGATAGACGACGGTGGCGGCTTATGCGATTCGCTCGCGAAGATGGTCACCGCAGCAAACCGTCGGCAGCCAAACAAGGTCATATAGATCAAAACTTCTTTTCAACCTCAAGATGCAGATAGGCACGCGTCCTTCCACCGATGCACTCTCAGCGAGTCATACATCGCATGTTGATCATTATCTCGTTCGACATCACATTCGATGACGAAGTGCAGGTCCCTTTCTACTACTTATCCCAGTTGCCGGATAGTTGGCGTAGTGTGTCTGTACGGCAATCATCCAATGTCGCGTGGGAAGAGCAAGTGTGTAAGTCCTGATATGAGGTTAGTTAGCGATGATTCTATCGAGGAGGTTAGAAGGAAATCGTACCGAATCAGAAGGTTCAGGTTCAGCCTAAGTTTCGAGCAGAGAGGCAGAAGCCAGAAGAAAGGGAACCAGAACAGGAATCGTCGAAAATGCTAGAAAGAGAGAGCAGCTAGCAAAGGAATTTGCAACTGAAGGATCTGGGTGCAGCGTACGCAGATTCTAGCGGATGCGAATGCAGTAGGGATGAAGTCTGACCGGAACATTAGAGTTTGAGCCAAGCTGAATACATTGACGAAGGTACTTCAGAGGCTTCAACATGCAGAATGCCTAAAGTTGTTATGCAGCACCTGACCTTGGAAGTCGTTCAAGTTATCTGGAGCCAATCGCCTAAAGACATATGCAGATAGAGGCATATGATACGCAGGATGGCATATTCTTTCGCACATTGGGAGTTCTCATGTACGCGATGTTTGCACGAGGCCGGACATCGCCCATGCAGTGGGAGTTGTGAGCAGATTTGCAAGCAATCCAGGAAAGCAGCATTGGGAGGCCGTAAAGTGGATAATGCGGTACTTGAGGGGAACAACGAACAAGCCACTATGTTTCAGGAATCCTGTTCTGCTGGGGTTTGTTATCTAGGAATCCTGTTCTGCTGGGGTTTGTTATAAATACCCAAACGTTTCTAGGGTTTGTAGGACATCAAAAAGAGAGCTTTTTGGCTGCTAAGAGAGAGAGAATCTCAGAGAGATTTACCCCTTGTTTGAGAGCTTGTATTTTCTTCTTCAATTAATAGAAAGATTGTGTGGTGTGGCTCCCGAGGACGTAGGCACGTTGCCGAACCTCGTTAAATCTGTGTGTTCGTCTCTTTTACTGTTTTTACAAGGTTAGATCTTTATTTGTGGTTTACTCCTACTTTCCTACTTTCAACACAAGGTCCGGAAGGGCAATGGTTCGATTGATTGTTTCGAATCCCCAACAACAATTTGAGAGTCAACAATCAACATGTTGCTATGTACCCTAGAGAGATGAACATAAAACTGCTTTCTAACATAATTTCACAATCGTTTCGAAATTCATTTGAGATGGCATTTGCCTATAATTTAACTATCAGCAAATGAGTAGATGAGATCACTAGTCATTCATGAATCTGCAGCTTGTTTTTGACACATATTTCTCAACATTTTGGAACCTCAGCTTCAGTCCCGAACACCTGCAAGCCATAAGAATCTTTATGTTGATAAACACTATAATTAGTTGTCCTCATTTTACAATTTTAAGAAAGAAAGCCATAAGAATCTTTATGTTGATAAACACTATAATTAGTTGTCCTCATTTTACAATTTTAAGAAAGAAAGCCCTTTGGAGAATGGGAAAAACCAAACAGAAGTGAAGAAAATATAAATCCTAGTTCTTTTTCTAGAGGATATTCCAAAAACAAAGGAAAAACTAATTCCTCTAGAAGTGACAAGAACTTGGTAGGATAGAGTAAAGGAAAATAAATTGATTTGAAAAAGGACTTACGCAAATGTTTTTTTTTCTCAAAGACTGATGCATAGAGTTGAATACTGCAGAACGAAATGTAAAGTGATAAATGCCAATTTTCCAAAATACCTACATAAAAATGTCGTTCTCTATGCTGTAAAGAGATTCAGAAGTGCGTCAAATAATCCTTCCAAAGGAAAAGCATAATCGATAAGGATTGAATAGTAGCCATCACACCAAGCATTGCTCTAGAGATGCTAGTGTCCTCCCACTAGTGGTTATTGGTCTCGTACTGATAGGGTTCCTTGGTGTATCTTAGATATAGATCTCTACGATAATGCAAGGCTTCGACTCTGGGCATGTTTGGTTGGCGAAAAAGTGCAAAAAGTGGGGGAAAGAAAACTTACATGGGTGAAATTTGATGTTTTCCTCCACTTTCAGATGTTTGGTTCGTCAAAGATATAAAAGAAAGTGGGGGAAGAAAATGGGTGCCAGCTCAGATTTGGAGCTGGGAAAATTTCCCCTCCATAAGGCTATGTTTGGTTTGAGAGAAAGGGAGAGAAAAGAAAAAGAAAGAGAAAGTAAAAAGAAAGGAAAAGAAAAAGAAAAGAAAATGATAATCCTTTTATTGTTTGGTTAGAAAGAATATTGTAAGGAAAGTTAGAAGAAAATTCATAAGAAAGTCATTTTCTCTTGTTTGGTTACCTTTATAAGAAAAGAGGAAGAAAAGTATCACAATATAATTTTAATTCATACTTTTTAGAATTAGATTCAGATTTTAAATAATTTACAAAAAATAATTAAATTAAATTATGATTCTATCATATTTTTTAAAAAAATTACAAGTTACCGAACATGTTTGCACAATCTTAACTAAGAAAATTTAGTCAAATTTACGATGACTCTAAATTTGCATATAATTTTACATTGTCTTGGACTTGCAAGTTATTCATAACCTCAGGTGAAGAAAAATGATTCCGAATAAGCTCTAGACAATGATGCAATTCAAGCATAATTATTCAAAATTAGTATCATTCATATCTTAGGAAGTAACAGGTTAATAAACATGTATTAATCCATTTCTCACACATAATATTTACAGAACAACATTTCTCACACATAATATTTGCAGAAAGAAAGGTCAATGAAAGAACCAAAAACAAATCTAAAGTTAGAAGAAAATTCATTAATTAAAGAACAACATTTCTCACACATAATATTTGCAGAAAGAAAGGTCAATGAAAGAACCAAAACAAAACATTTCTCACACATAATATTTGCAGAAAGAAAGGTCAATGAAAGAACCAAAACAAATCTAAAGTAAATATCATGATATTCCTAATATAAAGTATATAATCCGTTTCTAGTCACAAAGTCTATTACAATCAATTTCATATAAAAAAACCTTAACCAACATAATCTATTACAATTAATTTCATATATAGAGAATCTTAACCAAATAGAGAGAGAAAAATATGCCGACGTCCTTGGTTTTTGACTTTAGTGAGCCCATCAAAACATCAATCTCGCATCCTTCATCTCCTGAAATTAATTCAAAAAATTTCAAATAAGTAGAATATAAAGGTCCAATATAGTTATAACTTAGAATTTGCTACAAATTATATCTAACACTGTAAAAAGTAAAACATAAACGAAGACGTGAGCTCCAATATAGTTATAACTTAGAAGTAAACCAACATAACTCTCTATCACAATGAAGAAAGATTCATACACTTCTGCCTATTTGTTCTCATGTGACGATCCCACAAATCAAACCAAGATCCTTGTCTGCTCCTATTTGTTTTTGTTAATACTTAAGATTGTTCCTAGCCACTAGCATCCCAGAATTTTCTACTAGAAGATGAAAATGGCGATGTAAATTACCTCTACGAATTCAGAATCCCTTTCATCCCAGATGAAATTACCTCCTAGCACTATAGTAAAATATTCATAGATACCAGATAGATTTTAACAATCCTAGACAATAGTAAAATATTCTTGCTACCTTGAGCACAAGCTACTTCAACATCCTTCTCCATCTTTTCTAGACGACGTACTGCATTCTTGCACTTTTCCAGGTCTGTATCCTCGTCTGGGTGTTTGCTCAGCACAGTATGAAGTGCAGAGACAATCTTTTCAGCTGTTCCTCCAATAGACAATTTCTGGTTTAAGTTGAGAAACATTGATAAAGCGCTTTCTTCAAGCCTGAGTGAGAGCTCAACAAATACTAAGCAGAAAGGAGAAATTGAAGATTGAATTCTTACTGTTTTTATAGAGCGCGAATCTCTTCTCATGATCTTTACAGAACCAGAACGTGAGCGCTTTTTATTCAATTCCAATGCAGGGAGAGGTTCAGAACCAAGCATTAGATCCTTAAGGCCTCGTGCACGAGATCCAAAAACTCTTCTTTCTTCCCAAATATTAACCTAAAAATATTAAGCAATAGGTAAAATCAAGAGTTAGTATTTTTTTTTCAAGGTAAATGTGCTAGTCAGGTAAGGCTCCCCACTACAATGGGAAATAATTGACTTGCAGCGAAACACTAGATGCTTACTTACCTAAGAGCAGGTAGGTAACTGTTTTATCAGTTTTGTGAAACATACACATATGAGAAGAATTGTGTCTAACACACCAAGAAAAGTTACAGATGCTTCAGAAGGAACTTTTGATGGAAGTTGTAGGCTGTCTAAAAATCACAATAGATAGCTTATCCCCTATCAACCACCGATGATAGAAGTTACAATCTGACGACTTCCAGAAGGCTGTAATCTGAAGACTTTCGCGTAGATTGCTGAAGGTTACAATCTGACGACCTTCACGACAACTGATGGAAGCTCTACTTCAACAGCCTTCACAATCAACATCGGGAGTTACAATCTGACGACTCTAATTCAACAGCCTTCACAATCAACATCGGGAGTTACAATCTGACGACTCTCATATTCTCAAGGAGCCAAGACGAAGATTACAAGACAATGATCTTTGCAACGCTATGACAAAAAGAGATTACTTGGTGATAATCTCTGCAAGGCAAAACGCGGAGGTCCTCCCCGTGTTATAACATCAAAACGCCAGGGTCGAACCCCGCGTTACAACATCAAAACACCAAGGTCGAACCCGCGTTACAACATCAAGACGCGGAGGTCCTCCCCGTGTTACAACATCAAAACGCCAATTTCTGGTTTAAGTTGAGAAACATTGATAAAGCGCTTTCTTCAAGCCTGAGTGAGAGCTCAACAAATACTAAGCAGAAAGGAGAAATTGAAGATTGAATTCTTACTGTTTTTATAGAGCGCGAATCTCTTCTCATGATCTTTACAGAACCAGAACGTGAGCGCTTTTTATTCAATTCCAATGCAGGGAGAGGTTCAGAACCAAGCATTAGATCCTTAAGGCCTCGTGCACGAGATCCAAAAACTCTTCTTTCTTCCCAAATATTAACCTAAAAATATTAAGCAATAGGTAAAAATAAAATCAAGAGTTAGTATTTTTTTTTCAAGGTAAATGTGCTAGTCAGGTAAGGCTCCCCACTACAATGGGAAATAATTGACTTGCAGCGAAACACTAGATGCTTACTTACCTAAGAGCAGGTAGGTAACTGTTTTATCAGTTTTGTGAAACATACACACATGAGAAGAATTGTGTCTAACACACCAAGAAAAGTTACAGATGCTTCAGAAGGAACTTTTGATGGAAGTATGTGAAACTATGCCTATCAAAAGGATAAGCATGTAAATTATACCAACAACTATCAACCCCTAATTTATGAGCAATAGAATACGCAGATCTTAACGCATCAGAAAATAACACGTCCAAGATTTAAAATTATATACCTACGCAAAGAGAAGGAAAAAACAAGAGGATGTGCTTATATGACAAACATGAATCGTGCTGGTACAGCTGGATTCTAGGAGGCATGATTATGTTGTTAACTTATCCATGCATGGTAACTATAGGTTCTCAAAGCTGCAGAACAATTTTACAAGTTCCACAACAGCTATCAACAAATTCAACACTCATTATGTGCTGGCCTGCAGACAATTACAACTACAATTAGTAGGTGTCTTTCTGTAAAACCTTTAACAGCCAGGCAGGTACACGCAAGCAAGTGAGCAACCATCTAGCAACTTCTCAAATTCTCCAAGAAAAGGAAAGAAGGACAGCATAATTAAAGGACAAATAGATTTCGTAGCAAAGGCAATACATGAGAGGAGATCTCAAAAGGCAATTAGCCTCACAGAACTTGCATTTGATGGTAAATTTCAGTGGCCGAAGCAACACCAATTTATAAGTAACTTTATAGTAAAATAAACTACAAGCGCAGAAGCAATATTATATGAGCAGGTCAAGCATACTTGTAGCAACTTTCTTCAGTAATTAAGAAGGTAAAGATCCTCACCAGTCTAGAAACAACATTCTTTCCATGATCATCACCATTCTCCATAACGACTTTGACGGCTGCTGGAAGAACCTTCCAAAACTCACCAACAAACTCTGATCCTGTCCGCTTGCTGTTTTGCAAGATGTCATTGGCAAGATATAGAAGTGGTACTTTTTGCTCTTTTTGGGCACTATGGAATTGCTTATCCCATGTTTGAACAACTTGTTCTGCATTCTTCCGATGAAATATACACCAATGTGATAAAGCTAACAGGTACGAGTTAAGGTGACACATTGAGATCATCTTAATAATGTAAACAAGAAGCACAAAGCTTAAAGCGGAAGAATGACTGATAGCTAAGAGGAAACATTTTTATTGATTAAAAACAAAAGGAATTTTTTTTCCAGTCATTGTTACAAAAAAGGAAATTGAACACAAAAGAAAGGAGATTGCAACTCCAGCAAATGACATTACCCCAGACACGAAGACATATGACCACCCAAGCATAGATTAACTACAGGACTTAAGAGCGTGCATGAGAGACCCTCGCAGAAGTTAGTGATGCCACCAGTTGTTCAAATTTTTCAAACTCTGATCCTGTCCGCTTGCTGTTTTGCAAGATGTCATTGGCAAGATATAGAAGTGGTACTTTTTGCTCTTTTTGGGCACTATGGAATTGCTTATCCCATGTTTGAACAACTTGTTCTGCATTCTTCCGATGAAATATACACCAATGTGATAAAGCTAACATGTACGAGTTAAGGTGACACATTGAGATCACCTTAATAATGTAAACAAGAAGCACAAAGCTTAAAGCGGAAGAATGACTGATAGCTAAGAGGAAACATTTTTATTGATTAAAAACAAAAGGAATTTTTTTTCCAGTCATTGTTACAAAAAAGGAAATTGAACACAAAAGAAAGGAGATTGCAACTCCAACAAATGACATTACCCCAGACACGAAGACATATGACCACCCAAGCATAGATTAACTACAGGACTTAAGAGCGTGCATGAGAGACCCTCGCAGAAGTTAGTGATGCCACCAGTTGTTCAAATTTTTCGGACACCAAGAAACAACTATTTTACTAGTTAAGGGCTCGCACAGTTCTAAATTGATATTTGGGAAAATTTCCAGCTTCTATAAATGACCAAAATCATTTTAAATCGGGTTTCTCTTGTGCTAACTAAAAGGTTTAATGACCTTTACACCTCCAATTTAAATACTTTAAGTTATTTACAACTCTCAACTGCATATCTTCATACTATTTGGAAAATCGTCAGACACACTAAACACATTTCCTTCTAAAATTTCTAACTAAAATAGAATTTCTTGAAATGGGTAGAAAATAAGCACAACCAAGAGTTCAAATTTGATCTTTATAAAGAAAACATCCATACTAAAAATTAAAACTAGTAGAAAATTCATCAAGAAAAGGATACTTTCAATACATTGCTGAGTGCTATTGAGCTTCGAGAGCTTATCTGCCGGTATCTGCTCGCTGAAAGCACTATTCATCCCAAAACCCTCTTCTTCTCAATATTACAGAACGAGCTTCATCAATACACGCCCAAAACCCTTAAAAAAGTCATAGAAATCAACAAATTAGTCAACCAAAAACCTCCAATTTTCAATTTTTCCTCAAGGAAGGAAAATAATTGACGATACAAAGCTAGAAAACATACATTTTTCACTCCATAAAACTGGTCAAAACGAGAGAAAATTTGAGGACTTGTGAGAAATTGATTTTTCTCATAAACTTGATCAAGTATATTCTACAAACAAACATAAATTCAATAAATTCACGAAACTTCAAGATCAATGTACCTGAAGAAGAGACCTAGTTCCAGAATCCAATTGAGTCAAATTGGCCAACAGCATCACCATCAACCTCACAACTTTACGATCTCCAACCTTATACATCACATCCATAGCAGTACTCACGGTTCCAATGGATACAAGCTCCTCCGCAATCCCATGATCCTGGGAGAGATTGATCAGAGCTTCGGCCTCGGGAGCGGAGAGCTCCGCTGGATCTCGGAGGAGGCGGGAGAGAGGGGGCAGGAGGCGGTCGGAGCGGGAGGAGAGAGGGCGGAGGCCTTCATCGGAGCCTATGAGATCGCGGACGATGTCGACGATGGCGGGGATGAAGGAGATCCGAGAGAGGTCGAGGGAGAGAGATCCGAGAGAACGACTGTTTTCGTCAAAAGTTGCCTTCATCATTAATTTCATTAAAACTTCAAACGTTACAAATGAATTCAAATAACGAAAATAAAAATTACAACTTTCTTGAAAATAAACACAAGATCCGTTTATCGTCTCTTGCTTGCGTGGGTCTTTAGCCTGTGATGGGGACGTCGATATCCGTGGACTACCTGACAATCAGATCTGATCCAGAAAAATAAGGCAGAGCTTCGTCGATCCGCGAGGAGATCTAGAAACTTGAAGCGCCTATCTCGGCTAAAGCGAGATATTTGCTCTTCTTAGGATTACCGGCGAAGGGTAATGCTAAGGAACGGACACGGGTGATGCAAATCTGGTGAAGACCTCTCTTGTGTTGAAGCGCCCGACCACTCTTCACTGCAGCAGGGCTTCCCCAACTCTCCAAAAATCCAGATCCCCAAAAAGTGAGGCCTAAGGCTCCTATTTATAGGCAAGAGGGGGTACAGGGCGTCGGGACACCCCTGGGGTGTCTAGGCAAAGCCTAGACACCCTTGGGGTGTCTTGGCTTTGTCTAGACACCCCGGGGGTGTTTCGACTTTCCCGAGACACCCCGGGTGTCCCAGTTCAGCCTGAGACGCCCCGTTGCGTATGTTTGATTGTTTCCGCCGTAAATTCTTCGTCCGAACTCGGATTTGAGTGATTCCAAGTGCGTTGGAAGCTTGACGAAGAGTTCTATCTAACACTGAGCTGTTCGTGGAGACCTATGGGCAATTTTCGATGCCTACAGATACCCCCTCCAAAGCGTTCCGGACTCGTTTCTTTTATAGAAGAGGCTGGAATACTTTGGATGTGATTGGTCCAACCTTCAGTCGGCGTAAAGGACCTGTAATTAGTTTCAACTCTTGGCTCCTTCGATTTTCGGTCTATTCGATGCTTTGACGAATAACCGAAATTCTTCCGGCGCTGTGTTTATCGCCTGGCCGTCGTCGGAGTCTCGAGTCTACCACCAGTGAGTTGAGTTTGGCTCGTGTCATTGAACTGACTGTCTCTGTCACATTGTGATGACTTAGGGTTTCAGATCACCGTATGTTGACTTCTTGTCACAACGCGTTGACTGGCGTTGACCTAGGGTTACGCGTTGACCGGCGTTGACCTTAGGGTTTCGAATCGTCAAACGTTAACTTTGGTCGGAACGCGTTGACTGGCGTTGACCTAGGGTTACGCGTTGACCGACGTCGACCCTAGGGTTTCGAATCGTCGAATGTTGACTCGTGTGGATTTCGGATCCTCGAACGTTGACTTTTGTTGCAACGTGTTGACTGGCGTTGACCTAGGGTTACGCGTTGACCGACGTTGACCTTAGGGTTTCGAATCGTCAAACATTGACTTTGGTCACAACGCGTTGACTGGCGTTGACCTAAGGTTACGCGTTGATCGGCGTCGACCCTAGGGTTTCGAATCGTCGAACGTTGACTCGTGTGGATTTCGAATCCTCGAACGTTGACTTTTGTTGCAACGCGTTGACTGGCATTGACCTAGGGGTGTTGACTGGCGTTGACCTAGGGTTACGCGTTGACCGACGTTGACCTTAGGGTTTCGAATCGTCAAACATTGACTTTGGTCACAACGCGTTGACTGGCGTTGACCTAAGGTTACGCGTTGATCGGCGTCGACCCTAGGGTTTCGAATCGTCGAACGTTGACTCATGTGGATTTCGAATCCTCGAACGTTGACTTTTGTTGCAACGCGTTGACTGGCGTTGACCTAGGGTTACACGTTGACCGGCGTTGACCCTAGGGTTTTGGATCGTTCGTCATTGATTAGTGTGGATTTCGTCGAAATGTCCAACAACCGACGAAAAATAGGCAAATTCGGACTTTGAAAAAGGTTCGGGGGGGTCAAAATTGGGTTAAGACACCCAAGGGGTGTCTCAACAAAACCGAGACACCCTTGGGGTGTCTCGGTTTTGCCGAGACACCCCTTGGGGTGTTTTGGCCAAAACCGAGGTCCCCCCCTCATTTGGTTTCTTCCCATTTTGTTCCCCCTCTTTGCTTTCTGCTTGTTATTTATTTTATTACCTTTTTTGTCCCATTCTTTTTCAAAATTCTTTCAAAGAGGATTCTTTTCCTTCTTGTTAAACTCCTTCTTCTTCCCTTCAACCGCTCCACCATTGTTCAAATCTCTTTCAAGAACTCCAAACCCACACAAAGTGTTTCGGATTTTTGTTCCCAACCTTGCCGAATTAATCACTCCTCCAGAGCTATTTCATCCTCAAACTAAGGAACAAGCTTCTTGATCTTGGTAAGTTCCCTTCACAACATCTTTCTTTTTAAGAAGATTGTAACTCTATGCTTGTAATGGGGATACAACATGAACCTACATGCCAAGATCATAACTTTTCATTCTAATGATGATGGGTTGTGAGTATGAATCAAAATTTGGGGGTTTTATGCAAAACATGCAACATGGCCGAATTTTGGAGGGCTTTTATGCAAAAGTGGACTGAAATTTGTAGGGGTCTTTATGCAAAATGGGACTGAAATTTTGGGGCTTGGACTTTAGACCCACTTGGCCACAACTTTGAGGGGTGTTTCATGCAAAAAGACCACAAATTATTGAGGGTTTTATGTGCAAATATGGGCCGAAATCTTTTTGGGGGCTTATTTGCAAAATTGGCCGGAGAATCGAGGTGGTGTTCATGTAATAAAGGACTGAAATTAGGGTTTGGATCGCATGTCCATTTGGTTGAAAATTTGAGGGGTGCTTTATGCAAGAAGACCAATGTTGTTTGAGGGGTTTATTTACAAAAAGCAACCCACAAAGTGTAGAGGGGTTTATTTGCAAAAGGGCTGAAATTTAGGGCTGAAATTCCAAAAGTTTAGACCACAACCCAATAACCAAAGTTTTGATAAAGGCATGTGGATGTTAAATTGAAATTTGTGAAGGGGTCTATATGCAAAATTGGCTAAATTCTACAAAAGGGCTTATTTGTAAAATTAACCAAAATTGTGGGGTATCGGGGGTGCTATATGATCAGATATGATGACCATGACCCAACTCGAGCGTGTCCTTGACCCGAATTTAGCCTTGAACACGAAGGGTATTTTGGGTATTTCACCAAAATTCACCGTAAAAAAAAGACAATCATTGTTTCGCATGCACGAAATTTGTAGGTTTAACTAGACTTCAACTATAAAATCCTATTTATACATAGGATTTTAATTAAAGTTCTTAATTTCCCTTTTAAATTTCGTGTATTCATATTGTACCTGACTTGCTGCTTTTCATTGCAGATTTTCGATGTCTCCACGTCGACCTCGACCACGTAGGAGTCGTTCCCATTCGCAGCACAGCGAGGAAGAGGTTCCTATGGCATCTTTTCCAGCGGCCTCTTTCTTTGGGGGTGAGAATTTACATTTTCTGTATCCCTGATTGACCTCTTCGCGGGTCATAAAGAAAGAACCGACACCCTCCTTCGCGGGGGTTAAGGTTTCGGACTTGTTTTGCTTAGCCAATTCAAGTCTTCGGATATATTGGGGCGATCTCGTGTCGTCTTATACCTCATAGATCGGTGTGTGTCATCACGCTATCTACGTGATGATGCATACCGTTCTCTCGGTGTAGGACACTCGAAATTGTCTCTCCAATCATTCCGTGAATGATTTCTTCTCATTTCTTATGAGACGGATTTTCTGACTCTATCCTTGTGTTTTATTGCAGTAGAGTTCCCCGCGGGCAGCCTTCCTCCTCATGCCAATACTGGTTGTAGCCGGGAGGTCTTCTCTTCAACTTCTATTAGGCAGGCCGTTAGTCCACTCCCTCAGTTTGACAGAGATCGCTCCGACGAATCCTGTCGCTTGATACGGGAAGGAGGGCGTCATTGCTTACGCCAGCTTATTACGGATGCCTCCTTTACTGCGGATTCTTCCTCTACTCAGGCTTTAAAGAAGCCGAGTTTCCTGTTCGGAGATCACATCGAGGATCCTGCTACGTTGACCCTTACCGAGGAACACTGGCTGACTCTCGACGAAGGAGCTCTCTTGTACATTCCCTCCATTCCGCGTCAATATTCTTTCAGTCACTTGAAGGGACAGGCCGTGGAGCGACAAATGTCTTGGCACCTTACTGATGATGCTGAGCGAGTCCAGTGTGGATATGCCTCTCATCACAAGACTCCTGGTTCTAGCGGGTATCATCATATTCGTGGTCTTCGACCAGGGATCATGGGCCTTGACACTGCACCCCCAGGCGAGGTGTCAGCAGCTGCTCCTACCGTGGGTAATCGTCTGGCTCTTCTGGGGAGAAGGTTACCTCCACCAGATTATAGATGCTATGGTTGGGCTTCCTCATTAGCCAAGGGATGGTGGACACGCATGACCAGTTTCGTCTTGGCGCGCTGGGAGAGGGATTTGAAGAGCAGTGGATTGTATGCACCTATACGAGCCACCATGTACGGACTCCCGGTCAGCTGTCGCCATTTCTTGGCGTTGTTAGAGACATACATGCCTGACAGTAACACATTCCTGACCAGCGGTGGTGAGTTAGGGTTGGCCTTGCATGAGATGCATCAGGTTTCTGGTCTTCCGATGGGGGATTGTTCATATCAGGAGTATTTTCCTTCGAACCAGCAGTTGGAGTGGTTGAAGAAAGATGCTCCCGACATGTATGACACTCTTTGGGACCTCACTTGTCACTATTATACCTCCTTGCTCCAGACTTCTCCTCTAACGAAGAAGAAGAGGCAGATCAGCTTGAAGCAGTTTGCTAGCTATTTGTTCTAGAATTTGGAAGGTGATTCCAGCGAGCCCATTCGTGAGTTGGATGTCTTGACCCCTACAGCTATTAATGAGCTGGTGGAGAAGGCCGAGGCTCGCTCTTATACCATTGCCAGTGCTGAGGGAGCTTTTCCTGCAGGAACCAAGTTTCGTTCGTTCCTCCGTCGTGCACAGAAGTCTATTGGGTCCCGGACTCTGCTAGCAG